ACTCCTGTTGCTTGAGTCATGCATAAATATATGCTCATGTTAAAAAAAAGAGAGATTACTAATGAACTGTTGACAATGACTTTGTAATATGTCTTATCTTTTCTGTAATGATGCCTTTTGGATTTATGATATGAAGATAATATACATGAAAATAATTCTTGAGTGAAGCGACCAGGACTCTGCAGGGCTAGTCGTCACACGGCTCTGTGGCGCGGCGCGGATAACCCTCGTCCAGCGTCAGCGCGGGACTCACGCTCCAGCACTGCTCGCCTCTGAACACGAGCAGCCCTCCGTCGCTGCGGGCCACGGCTGCGTCCGGACCCGAGGGCAAGCCGGCCACGAGCTGCGACACGGGTCTGGGCTGAAGCAGGAGTTTGCCGGACCCCAGTTCATCCCACAGCCAGTAATCCGATCCCTACAGAACAGACAATCACTGCTTACGCTTGTTCACAGAATGGCTCTGAGCCGATTGCCAGAACAGGTTCTCTGTCACCTTGATGAAGACGAGCGCTCGCCGGCTGCTGAGGAAGAACGCAGCGTGTATGTCGGCGGGAATACGGAGTCGTTTCGGGTATCCGTGGTCCAGTTTAAAGCCAGAGTATCTCCACACTTTATCTCCTGTGGCAATCAGGTACAACTGGTTATTATTATTATTATTAATAAATGCAACATTCACACCTCAAAACTGTTCTATATTGAAAGTACATGTTTTTATTTGTACTTTATAATTGCAAATGTATTTCTGTTTCAGCAGATCTCATTGAATTCAACACTGTGTTGGTTTACACTTCACCTTTAAGGAAATAGGACTTGTTGGTTCTTTGTGAGTGAACAGCTGCATTGATGTTGCCGGGCAGCTCTTTCCACAGGGCACTGATCCGAACGGGAGCGCCATGACCGGAGTCTGAGACGGTCCACACGTACTGACCCCTGAAAGCAGAAGTCTTGTGGAGAGGTCCTTCAGAGAGGAGAGAGAAGCACAGGGACGTGAGGCTGAACGACCCGCATCAGCTGCTGGACGGGTCAGAGATCGGCTGTTCTGTTACCCAGCATGAGGGCGTCCAGCGGCGCGGAGCAGGGGTCCGGGACAGGCGGATCCGCATCAGGCTTTCTCTGAGCAGCGGATGGTCTTTCCACAGGTTTTCCTGAGACAGGTGATATAAATAACCTTTCGTCTGTGGTTAAACTTCAGTGGAAACACGAGTCCATGTTCTTACCGTACAGAGTCTGGATTCCATGGATGTCGTCATGGTGCAGTCTGAAGCCGTCCCGATACCCCGTGTACACCGGACCCATGAGTGCGCTGTGGAACTGGGAGTGGCCCAGTCCGAGGGCGTGGCCTATCTCATGGGCGGCTACGATGCGCAAGTTTGCTCTGTAACTCCGCCCCTCCGTCCACACCTCGTCGGCATCGAAGTGAACCGCGCCAGACTCCGGGCCCTCGGCGTGACCCAAAACCTGCCCTGAACCCCCAGAGCAACAGATGCGCATCCGCACAAGCTCAACGTTTGTGCCCAAACAGACACATTTCCACATCATCCATTAGACATTTCCTGATATTAAGATTACATTTTTCTGATTGTCATTTCAAACACTGACATCTAATCTTTACTGGAAATGTGTTTTGTGAAAGAGTGTCACCTGGTCCGTCAAAAGGAGCGGGGCATCCCTGGCCTCTGCTGTGGAAGGAGAGCTGGATGTCCGCGTGACCTCCGCTGACCTCTCGGAAGTGAAGCTGAGAGACGGCGCTCCAGTAGTTGAAGGCGGACCGGACCGCTGCTCGAGTCCGAGCTCGACCCAGAGGAAGAGGATGGTTGTAGATGCGATAGGTCAGTCTCTTCTTACGCCAGTGACCTGTGAACACACCGCTTACACTAGGCTTACAACGCTCACCTTTTCCTTCTTCTTTAAGTCACTTTTACATACAGTGTTGGCAAGGTGACTTTTGTTTTCAAGTTTGCGTTCTCGGGCCACCAAAACACTGTAAATGAACGCATTAAAGGTTTCTTGTTTTCAGTTTAAACGGTGTAGTGTAAGCGGCTCCTAAATTAATAACTAATGATTTTTACAACAGAAATGAATCAATCAAAAACTTACTTAAACTGGACAATGATTTTTTTTCTAGATCTTCTGTAAAGCCAAAACAATCTTTGTTGCATTATTTTCCTGTTATCACTGTAAAGCTGCTTAGAAACACTCTGTGTTGTTAAAAGCACTATATAAATAAAGGTGACTTGACTTGACTTTGGAAATGCAATAGGTTACATATTACAAGTTACCCTATTAAAAACGTAGGAAGTAGTGTAACTATTTCAGTTACTTTATTAAAGTAATGTAACTGATTACATTTGATTACTTTTCTAAATTTCTTTGAAACGTTTTCAACTGTTAATCATTTTCAAACATTTAAACCAGGCAGGGTTAGCCGTACAGTAGCGCTAACACTGATACTGCCCGTCTCCAGATCAGACTCAAGCTCCGCTGTTTTCTTTGAGATAAG